CACAACTGGACCAATAAGGAGCATCATGATAAATGGAGAAAAGATTGAGGTTGTCAAAGAATTCATGTTGCTTGGTTCTACAGTTGACGCCGGTTGAAGCAGCAGTCAGGAGATTAGACGACATGTAGCACTGGGTAGGTCGGCTGTGAAGGAACTCTTTCAAGTGCTGAGAAGCAAGGATGTCTCCTTGAGGACTAAGGTGCGCCTGACACAAGCCATGATATTTCCAGTTGCCTCGTATGCATGTGAGAGCTGGGCAATGAATAAGGAAGACCGAAGAAGAGTTAATGCTTTTGAGTTGTGGTGCTGGCAAAGAATGCTGAAAGTACCTTGTACTGCTAAAAGAGGTAACAGATCTGTCGAGGAGGAAGTGCAGCCGAAATGCTTCTTGGAAGCAAGAATGGCCAGACTTTGTCTCATCTACTTTGGTCTTGTTGTCAGAAGGGACCATTCCCTGGAGAAGGATGTCATGCTTGGAAGGTGGAGGGTCGACGAAAGAGGGGAAGGCCTTTGACGAGATGGATTGACATGGTTGCTGCGACAATGGACTCATGTATAGCAAGGATCCTGGAGCTGGCATGGGATCGGACAGTGTTTTGTTCTGCTGTGCATGGGGTCGCTCTGAGTCGGAAATGACTCAGTGGCACCTAACAACAACTACTTGACGAGGGATATTATCACGGTCACATTTTGGCTGTCGTGGACTTGTTGTAATTGTCTTCAACTTCAATTTGAATGTGCATATGAGCATTTGATGGTCTCTTCCACAGTCAGCTTCTGGCCTTGTTTAGGCCGACAATACTGAACTTCCCCACCACCTCTTGCTACAGATGTAGTCAATCTGTGTATTTCATCTGGTGATGTCCATGTGTATAGTCATCACTTACATTGTTGTAAAAAGGTATTTACAATGAATAATTCGTTGCTTTGGAAAATTCTGTCATGTGATCTCCTGCGTTATTTCTATCTTCAAGGCCATATTTTCCAACTACCAGTAACTCTTATTGGTTTCCAACTTTTGCATTCTGGTCACCAGTGATAATCAACACATCTTGATTGCATGTTCGGTCAATTTCAGACTGCAGAAATTGTTATAAATCTTCAGTTTCCTTATCTTTGACTTTGGTGGTTGGCGCGTAAATTTGAATAATAGTAGTAGTAATGGGTCTTTCGTGTAGGTGTACGGATATTATCTTTTCACTGATAGCATTGTATTTCAGGACAGATCTTGAAACACTCTCTGTGACACTGAATGCCACATCATTCCTCTTTAATTTGTCATTTCCAGCATTGTAGATCATAGGGTTATCTGATTCAAAATGTCCAAAACTAGTCCATTTCAACTCAGTAATGCCTAGGATTATGGATCCTTATGTGTTTCATTTAATTTTTGACAACTTTCAGTGTTCCTAGATTCATATTTTTTACATTCCATGTTCCAATTATTAATGGATATTTGCATCTATTTCTACTCATTTTCATTCGTGCCACATCAGCCAATGGAGGTCCCAAAAGCTTTACTCTGTCCACATCGTTAAGGTCATCTCTACTTTGAGGAGTCAACTTTTCCCCAGTCAAATTTTGAGTGATTTTTTACTAGATTGGCTCATCTTCTGGCACTGTATCGGACAGTGTTTCATGGGTATTCATAAACTTTTCCATTAATATACCAGACAGTGTTTCACATCTACTTATACAGTTTTCACTGGCCAATTGTTTGAGAATTGGGTGGCCTCTTTCTTCTTCTGAGTCTGTCTTAGCCAGGATCATTCACTGAAACCTGCCCGCCATGTGAAACCCTGCTGTCATCTTGCAACATGGTGTTATAGCCTCTAGTCTCAAAACAATACGTAAGCACCATATGCTGATGAATTGACAGCCAAGTTCATCTCCTTTAGTGGTTCCTAAGCCTTCTACTTGTTGTTGTTATGTGCCGTCGAGTCGGCCCCGACTCATAGCGACCCCTCCTTGGGTTTCCGAGGCAGTATCACTACGGAAGTAGGATTGCCCA